TGCCATGCGAGTCTGGGAAGCGGCTATGTGCTCATGTGCGGTCTTCATGATCGACGTCATGTGTGCAACCCAATCATCCAGCGCGGGACAACTCGTGTCGAGGTGCATCTGTGACGGTCGAAGAAAGTCCGCGGGAACACGAGGGTGATAGCCGAGGTCGCAATAGTAAGGCGACATCCCTGTGGCTGGCGAGACGGCGTGGTTGTAGGCTATCTCCGCGTGGGCAAGATGAAGATCCCACTGCTGGTCGTCACAAACAATCTTTCAAAGAATATCTCCGAGAGTCTTGTTCGTGATCTCGGTCTGACCATCAGTCTGAGGATGGTAAGACGAGGAGAAGCAGAGCTGAGTGCCGTATACCTCGTGGAACCGTCGCCAGAATCGGCTGGTAAAGCGCGGGTCACGGTCAGATATGATGCTCAGAGGTAAGCCGTGGTCACGCACGACTCGGTCAAACACGATGTCGGCGACCTCACGTGCACTGATGGCACAGCGGCGCGGAGCAAAGCGTGCACGCTTCGTGAAGCGGTCGACGACGACCAGGATAGCATCATGACCGCGAGGGGTCGGAGAACGAAGAGGACCGATAAAGTCCATCGAGATGGACTGCCAACGACCCTAAGGGATAGGAAGAGGCTGGAGCAAACCATAAGGCAGGTGGTTCGCACTGTTCACCTTCTGACAGGTGGGACACTCAGCGACGTAGTCCTTCACAAAGTCCTTGCGCTTCGGCCAGACGTACAGGCGGCTCACACGAGCCAACGTCTTGTGGAAGCCCATATGACCGGCGGCTGCCTGGTCATGGAACTCTGGTACTGCTTGGACACGTAGCTGTCCAGTGGAGGGAACGGAAATACGGGGCTCTCTGGTGCCCTGTGAACCGTGCCAGTACACAAGACCGTTGTCCCCGAGAGAGTAGTTCAGGACGGTCTTGCCACTCTGAAGGGTCGCGTGGATGTCATGATAGTCGGGGCAGTGGCAGTACTGAGTGCGAAACTCGTCGATCACCGAGTGGTGGACGGTGGTGACCGACATGGAAGAGAGCTGGATGTGCTCCTGGTCGTGGTCAGGGCGCCGGGATAGGGCATCTGCGACTTGATTAGTCTCACCCTTGATGTGCTCAGTGGTGAAACTAATCTCGGATAGGTAGCGCCACCAGTGAGCTTGTCGAGGAGTGAGTTTTGGCTTAGTCAGAAAAGCCTGGACAACAGAGTTGTCCGTGCGCACCGTGAATGGTGCCCCGTGCAGGTAGTGACGCCAGTGCCGACCGGCATAAACTACTGCGAGAACCTCACGTTCATCAGCAGTGTAGTTTATCTCGGCGGGCAGGAGCTGACGGGAGTAGAAGGCTATCGGACAATCACCTGAGCGAGTCTCGACAGTGCCGTCCTCGACGATGGTAGGAGAATAGTCAATAGGAGGCTCGTCAGTAGCTGGACGAGTAGGCGTCAGTCGGGAAGCAGTGGTAGGGGTAGGTGGTGGGAAACGAGGGATACGTGGATGAGAGGAATCGGGAGAGGAGGGGAATATCTGAGAAAGCACTGCTCCTACAACAAAGTCAGACGCATCGGTGGTAAGGATAAAAGGGCGATCAAAATCAGGTAGGTGAAGAACCGGTGCGCATGTCACCGCCTTCTTGAGGGCGCGGAAGACGTCCTCGTGGAGGGGTGTCCAAGCCCAAGGTGGGTTCTTCCGGAGGAGGGTGGAGGTAAGGACGTAGGAATACCTAGCGTATCCCCGGATGAAGTTACTATAATAGCTGGTCAGGCCTAGGAAGCTGCGAAGCTGCTTGGCGGATGTGGGGGCGGGCCACTCCGCAATAGCAGTGATCTTCGCGTCGTCCATGTGGAGACCCTGGTCAGACATGTAGTGTCCTAAGAAATTCACTTTGTGCTGGGCAAAGCGGCACTTGCTCAGCTTGGCGTAGAAGCCATGTCTGCGCAAGCGGTCAAGGACGTCTCGGAGGTGTCTGAGGTGCTCCTCAAGGGTACGACTGTAGACCATGATATCGTCGAGGTAGACGAGAACGTACTGCTCCAGGATGTCCCTGAAGATGTCGTTTATCGCCCTCTGAAAGGTAGCGGGAACATTAGTGAGGCCAGATAGCATCACCGTGAACTCGTAGTGGCCGAATCGCGATTGGAACGCGGTCTTCGGCTGGTCGGCTGCAGCGACGCGGATCTGATGGTAACCGCTACGAAGATCAATCTTCGTAAAGAAGCGGTTGCCTGCTAGGCGGTCGAACAGCTCATCGGAACGAGGCATGGGGTAGCTGCTCTTAACCGTGTAGCGGTTGAGACCGCGATAGTCGATGCAGAGACGGAGAGTTTCGTCCGCTTTGCGAGCAAAGAGGACGGGTNTAGCTGCTCTTAACCGTGTAGCGGTTGAGACCGCGATAGTCGATGCAGAGACGGAGAGTTTCGTCCGCTTTGCGAGCAAAGAGGACGGGTGCACCCCACGGGGAGTTGTTGGGTTTAATGAAACCCAGTCTCATGAGCTCCTCAAGCTGACGCTTGAGTTCGGTGGCCTCGGGGATCGAGAGTCCGTAGGGTGCCTGGTGATGAACACAATAGTCAGGCACAAGCTGAATGGAGTGCTCGACGTCACGCATCGGTGGGATGCCGGCGTACGAGAACGACAATGGAAAAACGTCGTGGTACTCTCGAATGAGGTCACGAACTGCGGGCTCCAAGTCAGCCGTATATCGTGCAAGTTCCTCAGCGTCAGCGTCAGCGTCAGCGCGCGACGGCGTGGTGGACTCGACGGGCGGCGGAGGGACGGAAGTAGAGATGGGAGCCATGGAGATAGAGGGAGGATTTGGCTCCAGAGGGATGAGCTCGGCGTCGGGACAGGGTGGATCATATTGTAAGAGATCCGTCACATCCACCATAAAGAAGGTGACGTTGTCCTGTCGAATGAAGTGAGCGAACTGCCGAGGCGAGGTGACCGTGATAGAGGGAGATGATGTGGGCACTGAAGGCTCCGGGGGAGGAGGATCGGGGCGTGGTGTCGCCGTGGTACCTATGAAAGGTATGCAATACGTTTGTCCACACTTCGTTTTGAGAACGAGAGTGTTGGTCGCCCAATCGGCCTCGGTGCTGCGGAACCGACGAGACCACGGAGTGCCGAGAATGAAGTCGTACCCCGTCTCCATCACATCGAAATGTGCAGAGGAGCGGTGGCGACGAGACGCCGGGGAGCGATCAGTCGGCTCGAGAGTGAGGAAGAAGGGGAGGTCGATGACCGTCTGATCGAAGAAGCGCTGGGTCTTGTCATCCCCTAGGGTAACGGAGATTGGAGTCGGAGACCCTGTCGTGGGTAAGCGGGCTTCCTTCACCACGCGTGGGTGAATGAAGTCGCCCTGAGAACCGGAATCCCACAGCGCTGAGTACACCCTCGTGGAGGTCCCGAGTCGTACTGGGATGATCGGGAGGGTGCGATCAGGGTCAGAGAGGATGGCGAGAAGGCGACGCAGTGCGGCGACATGGAGGGTGAGTCGCTCCTAACGAGCTTGGAGCATGCTCAAATCCAGAAGAGAGGACACAACGTCCTCGCGAGTAGCAAGCTGCTCGCTGCAACGGGCTGAGCAAATGGCTCGATGCGTCGGTAGTCGCGGCGGGGAAGGAGGGGAGACGGTGGTCTGCGGAGGCGCAGACGGTACTGCGACAGAGGGCTGAGTACACTCTGTCGAGTCCTGCGATACCTCAACTCCAGTAGCGAGAGGGGCGAACCGCGACGGAGATATCGGGAAACCCACTACTGAGGAGGGTGCAGGTGTACACTGCACCGTGGCTAGGAGGCGCCGCGGGGACGTGAGGTGCCGGGGGGGGACWGAGCACGACGCTGACGAGAAAGGTCAGCGTAGTGGCGGTCGAGGGCAGTAGTGTAAGGGCACCGCGAGGAGGTATGACCGTCCAAGCGGCAGCGCAAACACCCACGCCGGCCCAGAATAGCCGCGCGCTCCTCAGCGGAAAGGACACCACGAGGAGGGACGAAGCCCTGAGGGAGGTCCTCCTGAGGGATCCAGGGGGGCGACGCGCCAGCGTGACCGGGGCGGCTGCGTGCCCGAGAGAGGGCGAAGAGCGCGAGCTGAAGGCACTCAGCTGCAGGGAGGGTAGAGTCCTCCAAGTGATAGTGGACGGGCCTCGTAGAGATCGAGGTCGTCGCTATGGTCGCGCTGAAGCGGCGCAAGAAGTGGCGGCCCTGCTGCGTGGAATGGCGGGGGCGACCGCGGAAAGGGGAACGGCGCTGGGAAGTGTCGTGAGAGGAGGAGGAGGCTTAGCCCGTGCGCTAGGGCTGGGAGGAGGAGGCGGGGTGAAGACGGGCTCGCATCCGCTGGTGGTCCCTGGCGGCCTCGTAAGCCTGTGGGGCCGATGTGAACTCGTACCGCCATAGCTCGGAGCGGTACTCGAGCGGAAGGCTGGCCAAGAAACGATCGATAAGGGCAGCCTCGGGGAGGAACGCCACSTCGCAAACGAGGCGGGCGTCCTGAAAGACCTGGATGTGGCGATCCAGGCCGGCGGCGCCACCAGAGCCGGACCAGCGTGTAGTGACGACACGCTCGAAGGCGTCAGTCACGTCGTATCGGGCTCCGAAGCGATCCTCGAGGAACGCCAGGAAATCCACGAAGGTTGGAGTACGACCCTCACGAAGGGAGTAGGCATATAAATCCTCCTAGGCCTCGAAAGGACCGCCACGCAGGCGCGTTGAGAGGTGACTCACCCACGTCTCGGGTGTGGCGCCCATGAGCTGGAGTGTGCGGGTGGCAGACTGCAGCCACCGAGACACACGTATGCATGTACCGTCATACAAGGCAATGTCCGACAAGTGGATGAGTGGGGCGCCACCGTTTTGGCGGCGAGGGGATCGAGGAGCGGAGGCATGTGCCACGACTAAGTAAGTCGGCGCAGGTCCTGGAGAAAGGGGCACAGCAGAGTGTGTGCCCGGGCCGCGTGGGGGAGCGGCGGTGGCAACAGCGGCAGGCTGCGAGGGTGCTGCGGTAGAAGAGGTCGCAGCAACCGCGGGAGTAGGAAGAAGGTAGGAAGGAGTTATATAGGGTGCAGGGCGCGGAAAGCGAGCCTGCATGGGAGGAAGGGTAGAGGAGGTAGGGGGTGCGCCCGAAGGCGCGGCCACCTGTGAGGGTGGGGGTGGCTGAAGGCGTAAGAGGGCGAGGTCRGCCCGGAGCTGGGCAATCTCGTCCGCGAGACCTCAAACGTAGGTCGATCGAGGGGTGGCAGGAGGAAGAGTGGAGGGGGTGGACGCACAAGCGGCGCGGGGCATCCCAGAGGGGGGAGAGCCAGGTGGCGCTGCGGTCGTGCGAAGGGGAGGGAGAAGTGGGGCACCCGGAAAAGCTGAGACCATGGTAGCGGGTTGTTGTACCGTGGCCGTAGTGACCGAGATCTGGGCGGGTGCGCACGTAGACTGAGGGGGGGCTTGGCTCATGGCGGCCGTCGTGCTAGGGGCGTGGACAGTCACCAAGATGGCCGGGTCAGGGGCAATGGAGGAGGAAGTTCTGTCGTGGCCACCCTGTCGAGGGACGGGGGACCCGGACTGGGAGCCAGGAGATGACGGACACGCAGCATCCTGGAGTTGCTGCATGCCGGCGGCAAGGGTCGCCACTTGCTCCTGTAAGGGCGCGAGGGTCGCGAGTTGCGCCTGGATGGGCGCAAGGGTCGCGAGTTGCGCCTGGATGGGCGCAAGGGTCGCGAGTTGCGCCTGGATGGGCGCAAGGAGGGAGGTGAGGAGGGTGTGTAGATCCCCCTGGGGCTGATGGCCCTGGTCCGCCGGCACGGGTGTGGAGCCCGATGCCGTGGTCATCGCCGTGTCGGCGGCGTGTGACGCACCGTCGGTCATGGGGAGATGACGGACCGGACTGGAGGGGGCCAGAAGAGGTCCGCGTGAGCGGAGGGCGTAGGGGGAAGTCCGCAGTAGAAAGCGGCGAACGGCGCTAGCAAGGCTAGCACGGGCGCCGTCAAAGGGGGAGGGGTGGTTCGGGTCCAGGGTGCCCGAAGAGGACGGGGAAGTTGGTGGGTTTTCAGGAACCCTAAACCCTACAAAAACCTTAAGAAAACCCTAACCGAGGTTTAAGTGGTTAGGGTAGGGTACCGGTGACCTAATCAAGAAAGTAAAATAGCAAGCATAAGGGGGGGGGGACGGAAAAAAAATAAATAAACAGCGAGATTTCGAGAGAAAATAAAAATAAATAAGAAAATAAATCAATAATAAAAATAATTAAAGAAATAAGTAAAGAGATGTGAAGGGAAACAATATTTATTTTTTTGAAATTTTCGGCAGCATTTTCCTACTCCCCACGGGGTCAAGAATGTGCCAAGGGAAAAGGAGAGACCAAGGTGAGCACACTAG